TAATTTTCTAAAGTCTATATGGACATATATCTCCCATTATAATATTTATATGTTTCAAACTCCAAAATTTTTCTTATTTACAATTTATTTTGGTTTGCATTAAAGAGGCCAAACAAAGAAGAAGAATTTTTTAATGCTTCGAGTTTCGAGAATTTGGGGTGTTACAGTTGGAGCGAGTTTTATGTATGTGTAGTGAAAGGGTTATTAAATTATAGAACCGACAAGAACAATGTTTAATCCGTAGGAGTGTGATTAAACACTATAAATATAGAATAAAGGAAGATGATGATGAATATAAAATCCGGTAAAGGCTTGAAAATGAAGAATACATTTGCCTCATCGACAGTGCTTTTAAAGATTTAATTGGCAAATAGTTTGTAGGATTAAACAAGCCTTTAATAAAGATCACCAAAAACAAAGTGAATTTTCAAATGAACAAGTGAAAAGGGGGGATTTGATTATGTAGAAAGAAAAAAATTTCTTTGAAATGTTGGATGAAAATATAATAAATTTATTTATTTATTCATATATTTTAAGATAAGCACAACAAGTATTTATAGATTTCAATCATTCCATACAAAGTGGTTCCAATTTCAAAGCAAGAGGTGCAATGTTTCATCAATAAACCACCAGAAAATTCGAAAAAAATCTAGTCGACGGTCACATTTTTCAACTATGCGACTGTATAGTTTTAGCCTATGTGGTCGCATAGTTATGACATTTGCTGCTCAAAGTTTTTCTACAAATTGCTATGCGACCGTAAGCCTAAATGGCTTATGCGGTCGCATAGACCATTTTAGGGCACGTTTTTCCGTTCTTTTTCTCAATTCATCGTTCATCCACTTACATGATTTTGAACAACAAATTTACAACATTTGAGAGGAGAGGCCTTCATGTTCCTTTAACGCCCAGTGTCTTCTGTGAGAACATGGATGTGGTACTTTTAGCCGACCAATCGAACGCTGAGTAGTAGAATGCCGATCATTGCAAAAACTTCTACAAAGCTTTGCTTTCTCTTCATCGCATTTTCCATGAATCCTAGATACCACTGGCGGTGGATGGTGGAGCTGAGTATGCCATGGTCGAGCTGAGCTTCTGAGAACAATGGCCGGGTTACTAGTTAATATTCGAAAAGTAATTTTTTAACTCACTAAGCCTCGGTGAACATTAAAATCAGATTTTTAGTAAATTTGATAGAACTTGATGCAATGTGTGATTAAAAAGTTGTGAAACCCATAAAATATATGGTTGAAATGAATTGTTCACTTTTACCTAATTAAAATTTAGATTTTAATCGATACCAAACATGGACTAAAATATGAACTTTTCTTTAAAAAAAAAAAAACTAATGCTAATTTTAAATAAAAATTGGAATTTTGATTTTAATATAAATTAAAGTCAATAATTAATTTTAACCACATGATTCATGAGATTTATTTTGCAACCACATATTTTATCAATTTTTATGTAAATATACTGGAAATTGATTTCTTTAAACTACAGCAAACAGGGCTAAGATTCGAGGGCAAAAGTGTTGTGTTTTTTAGTTGGGTGTAAATGGTTTTTGTACGGACCAAGTGAAAAAAAGAAATGCAACTTACACAATTAGAGCAAAAATAGAGTGGTGAATTGAACTATTGGTTTTTATTAAATATTGCAAAATTGCAACATAGACATACCTTAAAAGAAATACAACAAATTATCGTGTATGTAATTTTTTCACATAGAATTTTGGAAAAATCTTGAAATTAATAATTTAAAATTATGGTAACGTGCTACTAATCTTGTTACAATATATTTAAACCTTCGAATTTGTAATTTACAGTTTTGTGTTAATTCTATTACATTGGAAATTTGTTCAAGACTAAACACTACCTTCGTCCGCCACTTTATTCCTAACGGTGTAAATGTTGATAAAATACATTTGACAAATGTTAAGTGAGTTTGATATAATTTATGTGAAAAGTGGTTATTTGGAGCTTAATTGGAGTCAATTTGAAGTTCTAACCGAATTGTAAGAATTCAATTGGAATTATTAATAGAGCATTCAATAAAAATTCATAAGTTTTGGGAGTTAAATTCGACAATTGAGAAGTTTGAGAACTAAATTGTAAACTTTCAAACTTGACTTGAGTCAATTATAATAATTTGAGAATGAAGAGGACCTAATTACGAATATTAAGCCCTTGTTTAAGCCTCATTATTTGACAAAGTATACATTTTTGAATAGTGTAGTTAAAAAATAAGGAAAATTTTTGAATTTACGTATAATATTATTTTATTGAATAATGTGTGGTTGAAAAGAAGGGATAAAAATGTATTTCGGAAATAATGAGATCAAACAAGGGCTAAAAGATGAAGGACAAAAATCACATGAGAAAAAGTGTTTAATTGGAAAAAGGATTTGTTTCATTTTTCTTCTCAAACTTTTTATATTTTTATTCTCCCATGATATGTAATTAATTATTTAGTTATAATGAATGATTGTACCTTAATTTTGAACCTTATTTTAATTAAAAAGTTTTAAATCTTCAAATTTATTTATTTTTTGGTAATTTTTTTTTTACTTCTAATCTTAATGCTTGGATTAATTGGCCACTAATTCATTGATTTTATGAGCGATAATTACGTAGAGATATAGATTATTTGTTTAAATCATGTAGTAAAAGTCGGGAACTAGTATAAAATATAGAAATACATTTTCTGATTAATGTGACCGTTATATGGATTCTTAGAGATTTATTGCATTTAACTAAGGTATATCCAGATTCAGATAGAGATATGGAATTTTTTTAATTATATAGAAATAATTTGAACTCGAGACGGGGTAAATTGAATATGCTAGAAGAATTTGATCAGATAACTATAATCAATCACTCCTTCACTTAAAAGAGA